AGTAGTAGTAGGACTTAGTAGGAGTAGCAGTAGTTAGTAGTAGCAGCACAATAACAACAACTACTACTACTAGAAAGAGTAAATAATAGAAGCGATTCCTTCACACGATAATATTTACTGATATGAACCATATACGTAATGGTGAACTGCTTTCCGGCGGTATCTATCCATACTACTCTGTACACTTCCCCTGCCTCAGCGATTGATTCTAAAGCCAATTAAAGCATCTAGAAGGAGATCGACCATCATGTCATAGTGACCATACTGGGTTCGGAGCTACGGGTGCTCTTCTCAAACTTCACATGAAGTGAGCTGACATTTCTGTTTCAGTGAGTGCACTCCAGGTTGCATGCTCTGTGCTTCGGCCCTAATAGGCCCGTCGCTCACAGTAGTCATACCTCAATCAAACTGGTCTACGGTGCACTGGGCCACATGCTTCGCGAAGATAGCAATGTGTTTTGGTAGCAGTAGTCGTCATCGTCGTCGTGGTATTGGTGGCGCCGGGGTGGTGGGGCGTGGTATTGGAAGGCGTGCGCATGCCTTTGGCCTAGCAGACGAGCAGCTGAGCTGGGCCTTCAGACTTCTGCGTGCCTGGCTGCAAGAATTGTGGCTGGAGCTATGCTTGAAGTTGATCAGCTCAGGTTTCTACTGGCTCAAGTTGGATGATGCCGGCCGGAGGCACAGAGAGTCTTCACACACCTCTGGCCTGCCTCTGGCTTACAATGCCTGGCCTCCTGCTCAGCTTCACCGGCTGAGTCGCATGGAGCCTTCAACTCAACATAGACAGCCCGTGCGGTCAAGATGAGCACAAGAGAGATCGTGAGCAAAACGATCCGTTTCCAGTTTCGAAGTACCATCAAGAAGCGTCTGACTCTTCTTCCGAGCTCCCCGCGACAAGATGCTCATCCAAGCTTTCGTTCGCGAGCCGCGCTACCCGCTTCCTCACAGCATCAACCAAACTTCGGCGTGACCGAATGGAAGAGAAGTAAGCTCGAGCTTGAACACGTTCTTCCAGGTTCTCCAATCTGCTGCTTACTTGTTTCTTCCAAGCTCCAAGGCAGCCCCGAGCATCAGGGCACCTACAGCACATGGAGGTCAATCTTGATGTGCAGGCAAGGCTCTTCGGTGATTTCATCTTTACCTGAGATTTGCTGAGTTCGTCCAACCACTGACAACAAATAGCAACTCTCCATAACTCTCCACTCTCCTGTAGGTATTCAACGGGCGCTGCAGTACCTGTTAGCACCTTCTGCCCATCCCGGTGCAGCGACTGAATTGTGCCAGTCCGCCTGCGCGTCCCTCTGTGGACTCTAGGGGTCCCATGTCCCTGTTGTCAAAGACATGCATGTCCGTTGTTGTCTACAAACCCTCTCACCCCAAACCCACTAAACTTAATCCTCCAAGCTCTTCTAAACCCATCAAACTCTTCATGTACAATCCACAACCAGGGTCGCCCCGCGAATGGTGATCTCAAGGTTTTTGCACGAGAGAATCAGAAAGCGAATGCCAGCAAGACTACCAGGATCCATGCTCTGCTGACCGGGTGTTTGAACCGGATGTTTGTAAGGTCGCCGGCATGGATGCTCTAGGACGATGGAGCGCTCTCAGAAATAGGTGTTGTTAATGCTGCGATGATGATCAGATGGGCTGGGAACCGGATGCTATCAAGCTTACCAGCATTGAACCGCGTTCAGCTCGTGCATGTGCTGAAACAGTCCGAGTGATTTCTTGCTCACGTTTGACAACATGGCATTGCGGCCAACCCAGTCTAAAACTATTGCAACTCGCACAACTGAAAACCCTTCTGAAGGACAGCAGTCGAATGGAAGCCCAGCTGCAAAAGGCTGTAGGGACCTGTCCTCACGAATCGTAAACTTTTGCCAATCCGTCAGGGCCAAGGCCAGCCAGAGGGCAAACAAGGCACCCGCCTCAGATTCGTCCCCGGAATGGGAAATCGGACTGTGAAGCTAAAGAGTCAAGCGTTCAGGGCGCCCCGGAAAACTTGGGCCAAAGCGGCCCTTTCTCATACTCAAAGAATGAGTCAAAAGCAATTGCACCAGAATCTTTGGAGAGGTGCTTCGATCTGGAAGGCAAGTTCATAGGAGCATCCCTGTGCCGTCGTGAAACCGGCGATGATGGTACCTGCAGCAACACTGGAGCCCGAAGAGCCTGTGCACAACGAGGAACAGGGGAAAGGCCAACGCCTTGGAAAGTTTGCTACCTTATCATCGGGTCCGCTCACGTGCGCGGGGCTACCAAATCAGCAGCGACACCCATCCTCCTCACATGATATTAATGATCAACTCTTGTGTCAAAAGGAACCCGATGGACAATGTAAGGTGCCTGCGGTCGCTTCAGTGCAGTCTGAGATGCCCAAACCATTCCCCACTCCTGATGCGACGCCACCTCCTGACAGGCAAATGCAACACTGCAAGCGTCTCGTCAGTTACAAGTCGAGAAACAAATCTGGCATCACGACGTTGCATGAACCAAGCCAACTCTCTCCTGACAGGTTCATCCAGATAGGTAGTGACGCCGGAGGAGCCCACTGGCCAATCCAGAGCGGGCACCACACCCACTGCAAGCTCTCCGTAAAGCCGATCCTCATTCAACTTGGGGCAATACCCTGGCTAATTAAGCAACAAAGAACAACGTCGTCTAAGGAGCTGGGCAACTCGGGATGGGTCAACCAAAACAGCACGGATGGATGGTGGTAGATGTGCTTCACCGAGCGTCAGCAACTTCGCTAGGCACATCGTAATTGGGTTCCTCAATGTCGCGAAAATCAAAGTTGAGGTCGCGTTGACGAGGAGTCCTGCAGGAGCGAAAGTGGCGAAGGCAGGGAAGGAGACAAAAGGCTCGTGGCAGCCTACAGGGCAAAACTTGCGTGCCGCTCTTTCCGACTCGAACTTGGCAGGCACATGCTGATTCCTGAAGTCTTCCACGAGGCGAAGACCACTACAACTCAAGCTGCTGCATGGAACTGCCCCACCCGGCATCTCTCCCTCACTCCTGCACAGAGCAACCTTTTGGACGAAACACGCTGGAGCATATATCCTCGCCAGTGGCTTAGACTTCCAACTCATGCAGAAAGCAGGACGCTGGTTTTCATGTTCTGGGTGTCCCTTCAGGTTGTCGGCCATCAGTCATCTGCATGCCGTGCACAGCTGCTTTTGGGGTGTCTGCCGAGTTGCCCCAGAACGCTGCAGCCATCCTTGGCGCTGCGAGCAGTTCAAGAGATAATGGGATGTCAGTGCCACTGCCATCCCTAGTTCGCATCCCTGTGCGCTTCAACGCCTGTAAGGAAAATGCCCCCATGATCCTCTGTCATCGCAAGTCAAACACGAAAAACGGAGGAGAGCAAAGAACAATATCATGTTCTGTACCAAAAGCCTGGGATGTGCGAGCCCCAATCTTAGGGCCTTCAAACATCATTGAAACACACACCACAACCTCTGAGTCCTGCCGATGCGTAGGCGTTGTTTGACCCTCTGCTTGGCAACAGAATGCTACAGTACTTATTACACTAGCCGTTGCACCAACATCGTCTGCGTGGCCAAAATTTTTCGGGGCACTATGGCACCCTGCTGGCTTTGGCAAGGGTGGTGGGGAAAACCGCGATGATGATGATGAGGATGAAGATGGGCCATGTGAAGAGACAAGTCGCAACGGAGAACGAGGAGCAGGAGGAGAAGTACAGTGAAGATGATAGATAGATGACAGCCATGAGCTGTGTGCCAGTGTCAAAACTGCCGGAAACGAGGGGATGCTGGGTTGCCCAAAGTTGCCGATCGAGGCGAGACTCGTCATCCCAATCTTGTCCATCGCTCCGAGCAGCCTCGACTGAGAACAAGATAGGACTTTCCTGCCTGCCTCACGGCCGGCCTCTCAGTACCCCGTGTGATATGCGACCAGCTGATATACTGTCCCATGCAGTCGTCAGAAGCGATTTCAGCCTCCTAAACACCCTGCTCGCAGTATAAGATCAATTTTTCAGCTGCGCGGCCCTATCCCGGCCGGACTCCATTGACCTTCTTTCTGAATTGTGTCGACAGTTGCGGCTGTCGCACCGCCTCAGCGAGGGACGGGATCTTGAGGATTCTGCTTGGGGCAGCACAGCGTCGACGGCTTTAGGATCTTCATCAGGCCGCAGCCAAGTAGCCGTTATAAGACATGAAGATGGGTACTGCCAGGCAAAACAGCGTGAACATGACGCATGCCGGCAGTGGTATCCCCATGGCTCAGGAGGAAAAAAACCGACGTGTCGGCTGGTGGAAAATACAGGTGAATCCGTGCGCCACAGTAGTCCAAGTCAGCTTGGCTTGGCAGTACGACTGTGTTTGCTTGAGGTTGACCGACGGTCTGTATCAAGTTGTGCCTAACGGCCAAGCAGCGCCCTGAGAATGCTGCATGTTTCTGCTGTGACTTTGGCTGCTTTGAGCCGCTCTGTGGGAGATGCGACATTCCGCAAAGAGTGTTCTATATGTAAGTGACAGCAGTGCAGTATTTCGATTGCATCTTTTTGGCGGCTCTGGCACTTGGCGACGGTGATGAAATCGCCTTGCGGCACAGGGGACCTACGACCTACAGCAAGCGTCCGGACAAAGCGTTCAGCTTTGCTACCTTGCACTGCATCTGCGCAGCCACACAAACGATCTCTGCCGCTCGAGTCATCGTGTGAAGTTACAGGACAACTTGTAGGCAGAGCCACTCAGACAGTGAACTATGCAAAGACACCGGCCTCAGTGTCGCGAGCTACTCGCCAGAGTGTGGGGGCCGTGACCGCGATCGGTCCCGGGCATCACCGTTGGTATGCTGCGCAGGGCGCCTCAGGCTTGAGGACTTCTGGTAACATTGTTATGGAGACCTCCAGGCACAAGGGTGGCGCAGCGCGCGCAACTCCATCAGTTTTGATGCTGTCAGAGGACAAGGCTATGCAGAACCTAGGGCTTAGGCTTGCACCCAGAGGTTGCTGACAAGCAAACTGTGCTTCCAACGCCTGGACGTGCTCTCAGTTCATGCTTCCGTATGCTCTAGCTGCAACTGGCCATGCTGCAAGCTCGGCCCTAGCCGCCACAGCTCTCAAGCACTTATTACGAGCGCAATATAGCGCTCGTGTCTGTCCTAAGGTCGACATTAAGGCCTGGGACCGGGCCCCTCTGAGGAGCTGTTCGACTCGTTGTCGAGCTGATCTTCGGTGTCTCTTCACTGGGCGCCTGACCCTTGGCCCTTTGGGGCCTCCCCGGTGAAGCGCAGGCCGGCAGCCCGCGCAGCCTTGAACGGGGGATAGTCCATGGCCTTAGCCGCGAGAATCTCAGCGAAGCGTCTTTGGGTATTGCTTCGGGCATGGCCTCATAAAGATTTGCAGCGTGCTTCCCTTCAATCAAGTTAAACTTCATGCTGCTTTCAGCTCAGAGAAACTTGACGCTCGGTTAAAGTGCCCCAGTTCTCAATGATTCCTCGACGTCAACGGGCTTTCAAAGTAACTTAAGACGTCAGAGTTAAGAGCCTGGTAAAGTAAAGTGGCCTGAAGACACCGAGTGGCCATGGCCAGAAGCTCTGCACTGGACTCCTGGCCCACGTCCTCTCTGTCGGCAAATTCAATCTGGGGCTCGCGAAAGAACCAACCCTGCATAGAAAAGCCGTGGAAGGCGACATGCAATGTCGCGTGTCTCTCCTGCTCGGTTTACGCTGGCCCTGCCTCGTTATGATACAGCTGCCCTCCATCAGTCCTCAAGGTGCTCCACGAGCAAAGCAGCCATCTTTCGGTGATTCGCTTCACCCTTGCCTTTCTTGGCCTGCATTTCGAGGTCGTTTGAGCGCACCGGGATGCAACACGTCAGACCGATGCGAAACTAGCAGGCTTCCGGTCCGATGCCTGGAAGAGTACCCTAAACTGCTGCTGTGCGGCTGTACCTCTCTACTGATGCACGCAACAGAAGCCTGGGATCTTAGCAGTGAAATAACTTAATATGGCATTCTAGCTCCTGCCTGGGAGATGGAGACATGCAGGGATGGAAGGGGCGAACACAAGTTCTCCAGAAATCCAGAGCTGCTGTAAAGAACCTACACAAAACATACGTATGTCTGCCTGCCTGCCTGCCCTGTAAGCCAGTAAGTATGTGTGTACACAAGTAAAGTTATGCATGTGTGCATCAGAAATTATCAGCACAAACAAGAAGAATGCAAGACGCTGGCTGGATGTCTCGGCCATACACTTAAAGTCAACTCTGGTTTTCCGACAACCCTCTCCAGGCCCTTGAGCTACATACGCTGCTTGCACATGTTCCTATGTTCCAGATACGGCTGCGACAAAGGCCCTGGCTGTGCCCTTCATACCTGTCGTAGTTAGTATAATTCAGTCTGATAGCAGATGCGGCCGCTAAAAGCATAAAAAATGAAGGTAGAAGTCGTCGGTGCCTCACGGCTCAGCAGTGCAAATGCCTCGCCGGTGGCACCTGCGCGGCCCGTCCGACCGACTCCTGTGCGGAGCCCAAAAGGGGGAGGATGCAAAGGCCATTGGGTCTAGGACTTCGAGATGAAGATTTCACCCCATGGTGTTTTCTTCCTGTGGTGTATTGTCCGACTTTTCTGCAACACGGCTTAAACTGAGTCTTGCTGAGTCTTGCTGGCAGCATGGGGAGGGTCCCAATACACATGCTGCAGAAGAATTCAACCTGGATCGAACTTCAAGATTTGTATGACCACAGTGTCGCACAGCAAAGACATACTGATAAGAAGCACTACACACATGATTGTCACGATGTGGCTGCATCGCGCTGAACTTAGCTGACCGACTGGGCAGGGGGCTTGGAAGACGAGCGGCGATGCGTGTGGGTCTCGATGTCGCGGGCAACATCAAAGGAAACCACTGTGCGAATAGTGGTGATGTCCAGGCCACGGGCAGCGACATCGGTCGCTATCAGAAGGTTCCTTGGCAAGCAAAGGTCTGAAGCGCAAGGAAAAGAGCATCATTTCCAAAACGCAACCTCAGTGAGAATTTTCAAAGCATCAACGCATTGATGCACTGGAATGCTTGCCAAGCCTCTCGCGCTGCTTCCGGAGGTTGTCTATCACCCTCATTCGCTCGTCTTGCTCCAGGTCTCCATGAAGCACAGCAGCTGTCTTTTGAACGTCTGCGAACTTCTGCTGGAGCTCCTTCGACTCACGACGGCCGTAACGTTAACTGAAGAGGATCACCGCACTGATCCTTTTACCAATTTCTAACCCATAATGCTTGCATCCGCTCATTGCTGAACTGCCCATCCCGGCTCGGAAAGCATGGGGCACTTTGAGCTGCTGAGAAGGACAAAATTCGTCGTCTAGGTATCTCTATGTGTCTTGAGACTCAAGCCTCAGTTCGGCATGACAGCACAACAGCAGAAATAGGTTTCACATATTCAGCACTGAGTACTGGGCTGCTGTACACTGATGGTCTCACGACGACGACTGTCGTGAGCCGGTTGCAATCAGCGTCTTAACGCCTGGGCAAAAGTGACCGAGTAATCATCTTCAGCTGCATTTTCTGCTGATCCATCAGCTTCAAAAATGATCGTAGTTCCACTATGTTGAAAGGTGCGGTGACGGCTTTCTCGCCCAAAACAGCACGCTCTCTTCGGTCCTGGGCCGCCTGCTTCGACTTGACAAACACTAGGGTTTGCCCCTTTGCCAGCATTTGGTCCACCCTGGCATGAAGCCACCCAAACTTTTGGTCGTCGCTGTTGAGGACCCAAACCTGAGATCCCAACATATCGTGGCGGCTCTCACTGTCTGTGCTTCACATATGGGAATTCGTGTACGTCGTTTTGAATCCAAGACCAACGCCAGGCATGTTTGGACCTCCGTACAGTGATTGTATGTTCTTGTACTCTCTTTGGATGATACACCGATACACCTTCTTGAGGCCCACAACAGCCGGAACTCGCGGGATGCAGTCTCTGTGGCTACTGGTCAGCGCAACTATGACTGAGAATAGGCTTGACCCACGTGAGGGCATGCGACGAGGTCGGAGGGGCTGTGAAAGGGGCATGCAGAATGCAACCTGCGCACCTGCTGGCGAACGTTTGCAGCCGCCTGCCCGGCAGTGCCCACCTTACGGGATCACCAGTATGAAATGTGTCTTGCACATAAGCATATGTGTATGTATGAGTATCTGTGCACATGTATATTGATTCGTAGATTTGTGCGATATACAGATAGACATCAGAACATGTTTCTGTCTATTTACCTACTTGCCTATCTATATAAGTAACTATCTGTCTGTTATCCATCCATCCTTCTGTCCTATCCATCTGCCCATCCATCCATCCGGCCGGTCCATCCAGCCGTTTAACCTATCCATCACTGCTTACAAGGTGAGCAGTTCGAGGCCGAGGGGCTTTCAAACACCGGGTGCCGGACTGACAGCTTACCAGCCTACCAAGTTCAAAGGGTCGTGTCACCCTGCAGCTTCAGCGTCTCAATCTAAAGCCATCAAAGAGTCGTGGTTTCCTTGCAGGATGTTGAGATTGTCCAAAGCCCATCTTGCGACCAACATCGCTACGTCCTCTGAAGACCAATTTGGATGGTGCGCATCAACTTGGCACCACCCAGTGACTATCCCGAAAACACCCTACATGGCCCTGAATCCAAACCACAAAAATACTGAAACAGTTCAGGGAAGTCTCAAAACCATATGCAGGCGAAGCACTGTTATTCGCACGGGATGCTCAAGGAAGTCTGCTGCGAGTCGCTCAATGCGCGGCGGCATGGTGGCCGAAAACAGCAGCGTCTGCACAACGCTCTCAAGCTGAAGAAGCATGCACCCCTAGAGGGGGAATGGCCAGGCATGGTAATTCTCTTTCTTACCGAAGTGAAAGAAGACTCGTGTCCCAAACAGCGCCGCAGCTTTGGCCCTCGGCGGTCAGTCTTGAAATTCAAACCAGAGGTTGTTGTCGGAGAGAGCCAACCTATAATACAGGACCGTTTCCTAGTCCACAGAGTGACATCGAATGATCTCATGATGCATCTGCCTGCCGTTTCGGCCGCACATTCTGGAGGACAGAACGTATCTGATCCTGGCGGCAGTTCAGACAATTGGATTTTGCATGCGTGAGTTCAAAATGTCAACCAAGCTATGCGCGATGCCCACTTTTGAGGCAAAGACATACTGGGCACAACAACTCTAACATCAGAACTCACTCACGGAGGCTGAAGAGACGCGAGCACTAAGGCTACAAACCCGTTTCTTCGAACACTCGGCCGACACCTCAAAACCCATCTGGAGCATGCGGTCGGCTTCGTCAAGGACCACAATTGTGGTCCGCCGGAGGTTGCAGCCTCTCTCGTGCAAATGCCAGACCACTTCAAGGTAGTTGGGAGTGGGGATTCGGCATGTCCAGCACTTCGTGCACACACCGCCCCGCGGCCTTTCATCTTTACGATGTCGATCAGGCGACCTGGCGTGGCGATCACGATTTCGCTGCCGCCTGCGCACATCTTGGGCATCGGGGACTTGTGAAAGGATGCTCAGCTCGTCGACAAAAGACCAGTTTAAGCCGCTGCAGGTGGGGGCACATATCAAAGAGACCCGCACAGAACAGGTAAAATGCAACATCTGTAAACGTATGTACAGTACGAGATTTCATATGCATGCATGTACGTGTCTGTCTGTCTGTCTGTCTGTCTGTCTGCCTGCCTGCCTGCCTGTCTGTCTGTCTGTCTGTACGTACCCACGTACCCATGTACGGATGTATGTACGTATGTATGTATGTATGTATGTATGTATGTATGTATGTAATTATGTAACATGTGACATTTTGTAAGTGTGTAAGTATGTACGTGTGTATGTGTATGTGTGTGGTTTTGGCTCCCACACACAGAAATATATATATATATATATATGTGTGTGTGTGTGCATTCATTTATGTATTTACTTGTTGACACACACACACATACTAATTCAACATGAACTTATGTGTGATCATGGGTCCGGGTTTCTCGGTCCCAAAAAAACACAGGTATCCCGAATTTGCGTGGTGAGAAAGCTGAAACATTCGTGGGTGTGATGTACTGGGGCGGAGCACGGGAAAAGGTCAAGTGGCGTTGCGGAGGCACGGGGGTCTCATTTTTGGCCCACCCGTCGCAAGCACGGGCAGGTCTGAATCGGATTGCGAGCCGAGCTCAGCTGCTAGCTCAAACTGGCTCATTGGTGCCGTGGTGCATGGCTCCCAGAGGCACATCAGACTGCAACACCGCACACGGGGTTGTGACGGACTCGGGAGCCTGAAAGAAGTTGGTTTTGCTCGGGCTTGCATTGCTCGCCACTCTTGGTCTGGAAATGGCTCATGGTTAAACGTAAACGGTGCAAAGCCAAGAAAGGACATCTGCAGGCTGCAGGGTCTGCAAAGGCGTTTGTTGATGAATTTGTCTGTGGCTTCACATGTGCCAAAGAATTCATCGGTCTATCCGCGTCTGCACCGATAACATGTACGCGCGCACACTTTACGAGTGCAGTGTGGCAGCGGTACACATGTGCAAGCGACTTATTCGATAGGTCATCTAGTTCGGCCGGCGTCATGGACCCTCCGAATCCCTCAGGCAGTCTGAAGTCTAGACAGCATCCCGCGCCTTTGATGGTCTTGAACTGCTGGTACTTGGACAAACCTCCTGCGAAAGTGGTGCTCCTCAATCCAAGCAGCTTGTTAAACTTGTACACCTCCTTCTCAATCTGCACAGCTAGCTCACCTGGGACAGATGCATGACATTGGAGCGAGGAACCCATGCCAACCGTCCTCCAACCAGGATGCTTAACAACATCATCAACACGAAAGTCTTCGTTGGTGTGGATAAGAAGCGCGTTGGGCAGAGAACCAGCCCGATAGGGCCCTCATCCTTTTTCAGCTCGGTCTGCGCGGCGCAATGGACGAGCAGCCTTGAGGTTCACATGATTATCTCAATGCTCAGGATGCAACTAAAGCCAACTGTAGCTTGTAACACTTACAAATGCTTATAACCTTCAGCTTCGGATGTGGAAAGAAAGAAGGCATTGGCCTCGTGACTTCAGACGGCGAAGGTGGCAACGATAGTCACTAGTCTCGGGCTGTGGCGGCATGAGGTAGGCCACGGTTTTTCCAGAGCCCGTTTCGGCCTCGACCACTCGAGCAGGAGCCACTTGAAAGCACAGTGCCCGCAGCTCGAAATCGGGCTTCGACAAGCTGTAGAGGGTTGGGATGCTGTGACAGTTCCCTTCCATAGCAACCCACAGCGTGGACATCCGTCCGACTCTGCTGCTCAACTTTGTTCATTTCTCCGACTTGCAGCACCAAAGTGATAAAACCGCATCACAATTACACCATCCTCAAAGAGATCTAACGGGAGCCCAACCGAAACTCCCTGTGCCGTTGGTCCAGCTGGGGAGTCCCGCCACGCCGATCACGTCACGCCCGCTGAGTCCGGCCGGGCAGGCCTGTGCCTTTGAAAAGCTCAGGAAGCTAGCTACCCGACAAAAAACTGCAGCTGATCGGAATATCTAGGACAGTCGCTGACAGCTGTAACACAAGAGTATGTCGCACCACCAGGGAACCATGGAACCACGGTCCAATCAGCCACGCCAGACGGGTGTGTGCAGGCATGCAAACGTGAACGGACACCTGCACGTCCATCATCATGCCGGCCATGAGTCGGCGTGCATGAACTGCAATATATAGGCAAGCACACATGCATGGTTGTGCGAGTCGACATGTCCGATGCTTCCGCATGAACCACACGTCTGAAGCCATCCAACAGCTACCACGATCAGACGAATGCAACATGTCAAGAGTCTGAGCACAATGCCGATAGGCTCGACATCGTACAAAGTGACTCTGCTTGGTGGATGAAGACAGGATAAGAATGCTAAAAAGCATGCATTGTACGACATGGAGCTGTGCACGCTGTCTTGAATGATGGCCACCAAACATGCATAGTACAAGTGCCGCGCAGATGCATTGGCGTAAACATTCTAAAATAATATCTAACTACAGCTGTGGCGAATGCACACAAAAACATATGCCCATACGGCCCATACATATATACAGGCGGATGGACTGACAAACATATAGATGCGCACATACGTACAGCACGATTAAAATCATATTCTGAGCCTACCTGGATCGGCGTAGGCTTGCTGTAGTTGTTCTTGCGGATGCCATCCAGCAGCTCCTGCTGGAGAGCAAATTTGACATAGGTAGGGAGTCAAGGTCAGGAGGCACATGGCAAATGTACATGCATGTGCGCGAAACATGCCCAACCAACCATTAAGTTTCATGCATGCCCGCGCGGCAGACTCAAACTTGCTGGATTGAGCAAACAGCCATCACTGTCGTCGTGATCCTCCTCATCAATTTCTTCACCATGCGACATCTATACGACTGCCAGCACTCCTACAAAACCGCCATTGTCACTATCAGCACCATCATGACAGTTATCACTAGTGTCACCAACTTCATGGCGATGGTCAGCGTCGAGGTGACTTCAGACGAGCTCCTCACCACAACCACCACCACCGCCAGCACTCACCATTAGACGGCTGGTCAACATCGGCAACGCTGCAGTTGCCATTGCCTCATCCAATGGTGCATCTGGTACTCGCTTTCGTCTCCTTCTTGCCATCAGCAGTCTCGCCTCCAGCACCACCATGATCATCACCATAGCCATCTTCATCATTATCATCAGCATCACGTTCATCGCCTTCTTCCGCTTCATCTTCATCATCGTCGTCACTATTTAACCATCACATCCCTCGCTGTTGCCTCATCATGCCTTATCTTGTCTTCATCAGCTGCCAGATTCTACATCAGCGATACTCTTCGTCCGAAACACCAGATTAGACACAGCATTTGACGGGGCCCGATTGGCAGGGCTCGAACCCTTGCAACTCGGACTCTCCAGACGAGGCGACCTTTTCCCGCGCAGAACGAACTTCGAGTGCCTTCAACACTATGCACCACTTGCGTCGGACGTCACACGTGGTGTCATGCCCAGGATCACCTTTGTTTCATCGTGTCTCCGCGAAGGACTCATACAACCTTTGGCGGGGCACTCAGTCACAGTTTAAGGCGAATGCTGCGAGGCCACCAGCGCCACCACTTTGGTCTCGCTAGCCGCACTGGCCAATCACCAACCCGCACAATAGTAAATAGTAGGCTCAAACTAGCGACTCAGCCGGCCCCGCAGCTCCCGCCCACGCAGTGCTCAAAAGGGCGGGTCCTTTGGAAGTCTGAGGTGGGCGAAAGAGACCACTGGCCGAGGGCAGTTCGAGCCTGTGACGGTCAAGCGAAAGTCCTTCGCACGGGGCGCAAAGTCTGCAAACCGAGAGCCTTTACAGAAGCTACTGGTATAGTCGGGATCAGGCAGCTGTGGACAGGTCGAAGATGATGGGCTCTTGCAGATATGCAGCAAGGAACGTCATTACTGCAGGACGGCGACCTGTCCTGACCTCACACAATTGCATGCGCACTGAGCGAGATTAAGCCTAAGCCATCTCCATGCTCCATGGATCCTTTCGGATGAGTGCGACCTCCTCCTCGCCGAGGATTTCGATCCTCGACGTGGTGTTGCTTCGAGATGCGACTGGAACCCTGTGGCAAAAACACAGTCATATTCCTACAACCATCAACGCACCGACGACCTCTGGGCATCTATAGGTGGTGACTGACTGTGGGCTGGCAGGTGTACACAACAGCTTCGGACTTTGGCCGCTCGCATCACCTCTACCAACCCATGGTCCGAAAGCCCGAAGCCACAATCAAATCTCGTCAGTTTCAATTTCTGCCAGGTGTCTCCGGGTGTGCCTTGTAAAAAGCGAATTCTACATCGGCGTACTCAATCTCCTTGCGAAACTCAACGTCAGGCAACAAGCAGACTTGCCCTGCAGTTTCTATCTGCAGTTAAGCACGGTTTTCGCACCTCATGTTGCGGATGAGTCCTCGTGGTTCACCCGCGGAAGGGGCTCTATGGGCTTCCTCCGCCGATCCCCGTTCTCTTCGTCATCCTCGTCATCACCGCCGCCCTCGTTGCCAGCATTCTGATCGCAAAGCTCGCAATAGGAAGCCACGTGATCATCTTCCCTGCGACTTGCGGGGACAACCAGCTTTCTGAACAGATGCTGTCGAAGCTCACAGTTCTCCAGCCCTTATGTACTCCGAGCCCCATCCTCGCAATGAGCCTACAGCTTGACCGTGCCGTTGTGGATTCGTACGAACAGGATGCTGAGGCGGCGATTCCAACATACGGCAAATGCTTAGGGCAAGGTCTCTTGGGGAAAGGCGCAACCCACGAATCGCACATACGCACCAAAGCACGTTGTGCTGACTGGTTTGACCTCATTGAAGCCATATTTTCACCCATGAATGACCCGGCTCATCTGTCGATCTACCTCCGGTCTCTGCCTATATTGCCTCGTACAGCACGGAGGAAATGCTATACAGATGCATACGGTGTGTACTACTGTGTCTTGCTGCATGGTGCAGGGAGAGACACATCATCTGGGAGAAGGATTTAAGATGGATGTCACGAGTAGGGCAGTAGGGTGTTTCGAACTCGAATGTTTGACAGTCTTTGTCCGAATGAAACGGGAGCGAGATGGGGAGATGGACAAGTTGTAAAGTTAGGAGATGAAAAGCTTCAAGATCGACAATTTCAAAGTATCGAGATTGAAGACAGGCGTGAGTTTGGAGTTTGTGTATCGACTTAGAAGGTTCGAAAGGTTGGAGTTTCAAACGTTGAACAGCCCGAGATTGCACGCTTGAAAGACTGAAAGTTCGAACATTGCAAACTCGGAAAGTTCGAAGGTTGAAACGTTGAAAGCTTGAACTCTTCGAACTTCGAAAGATTGACAATTCGCAAGACACAGAGTTTGAGACTTGGAACGCTTCAATCTTTCGGAGTTTGATAAATTCGGAGCACGAAAGCATTAAAAGTTTCCACGATGTCTTCTTCGTTGCGCTTAGAGTAGCAAGCTGAGTGGAGCTATCTGGCGCTTACGGTCATGTCTTGAGAATGGGAATTGCGGTTTGGAGATACGGGATGAACCGCCATCGAATTATGAGGGGGCAGGTTCAAGACATGCAATATTTAGGGGATCAGCCGTCATCGCCTAAGGAGGGTCGGGTTGAAGCTATGGGGTCAATCGCAGTTACCTAACGAGGGGCGGGTTTGAGATACGATGTCAGCCACCATCGCAGGGCCAACTGCCTACTGAGGGGCCCGGTTCAAGATATGACGAGATCAAGCGCCATAGTCTAACGAGGGGTCGGGTTTAAGACGAAGCTGGACCGCTATCGGCGAATGAGGGGGCGAGTTTTTCCCACCCGCCCATAGGCGGGCTACTATCAAGAGGGCGGGTTTAAGATGTGTAAAGAGATAGGATCAACCGCCATGGGAGTACGATTTGAGTCGAAATCAACCTCACTCGCCAAATGTGGGCCGGGTTTAATTAAGATACGGGATCAACCGCACTCGCCTAATGACAGGGCGATTTGACACAGGAAATCAATCGCCATCGCCATCCATCGCCTACAGAGGTGGCTCTCAAACTCTCTAGCTCCAAGTCTCTCAAACTTTGGAATGTTTGCGCCGTCAAACTCTCGATGTCAGCAGTGGCCGGCCGCGAAGCGAACATGAAGCCAACCTTTCAAACTCCAAACCTTCGAACTTTTCAACATGCGAGACTTGAAACTATCGATCTTTCAAGCTCACGACGTTCGAACCTGTCAAACCTTCAATCTTTCGAGGCTTCAGTTACTCTCATAACTTGAGAGCCGTTCGAACTCAGTCGGGGCTAAAGTTTGGAGCTTGAGTTCGAAGAAGCATGTCAAGCTCGAAAGTACGAGCGTTTGAGAGCTTCACATTTTCGAGTTGGAAAAGTTCAGAGTGTGACGCCCGCATGCTGGCGCATACTGTGGTGTCCAAACTTGAACTCTAGCACCTTTCGAACCTTCAACTGCAACATTCTCACACTTCAACCAATGATTCAAACCTTCGAATCGCGCACACTGGCCCATTGAACTCTCACAAACACCCCTTCGCGAGCTGACGAGTATTCCGTGCCGAGCGACGGCATGTCTTCCCAGGATGCCAGAGCCTTTCTAGGGAATAGAGCACCGATGCTCTATGCTTTATCTTGCCGTACAGCGTGGCCCAGGAGGCATCCATAGGCACCCAGTGAAAAGTCTGAAGTCCTGGCCTTCTGCCTCCAAGATCTCGACTGACGGAAGTCTCTGACTCGAGCTCTAGCCGACTCTAGCCGAAGCCTTCACCGAGCTTCCCGTCTGTCTGGGTTGGCAAGGACGCTGCACGCATGCGCACGCCTTCTTCGAGACGCTCGTGTCATCTCCAGTGGGCTCGGCAGCTTTGGCCGTGATGTCCTCCATGAATGCGTCTAAAGCATCTGCCTGGCAGGGCCATTCCAGGTCTTGCCACATATTTTGTCCCCATATCCGAGTTGCAGTAATGCGAGTCTCAAGCCCTGCGCCATGCCCTGGACCCGATCCCAAAGATTCTAGAAATTCGCTAAATTAGTTTTCGGTAGCAGGGCCTCAGCCTCGGCCGGCGGGGTGGAGACCTTGACCTCCTTGGCAGCAGGAGGCTCATCTCCGCCCTTGCCTTGCACAAACTCGGGGAATGCACCGCTGTGGCTGCCCCCAAGGTAGCAAAGGCTTCGCTTCAGACTTGCAGTGGATGCAGCTGAGCTGAGCCGTCACGATTGAAGGCCAAAGCTTGAAGGCCCGTATTCAGAATGAACGAGCTAATGACCCCGTGAAAAACTTCGCCGTTACACTCCAGGTGTAAACCCCTAATTACCCTTTGGTTCCTTCGATAGTCGAGAGCCCGCCTGACGGGCGTGCATCGAGAGGCAGCGTCAGCAGCTGCTTCTTTGGAGCTGGCTCCTCAGCCACGAGCGCGATGAGGCATGAGCCTCTTCTACAAGCTCATCGGGTGTTTGGAGTTGCCTTGGGCTTGCTGCCTGATGTGCTCAAGGTGGATAGGCTTCCCCTCTCTCATCATCAAGCTGCGCATGAACATCTGCAGTGCGACTTCACATGGGCTAGCCGAGCAAGGTACAGTAGGATTCACGACAGCAGAATTACTCTCCTGACCTCGCCCTCCCCTGATCTTGCATCCTGCTACGACGACGACGACTGACTACCAAGGACAAAATCAGCAGCAATAATCAGCAAGAGATGAGCAAAGGCTGTCATGGGGAGGACTATCCAGCGATAGATTGTTTCAGTTGTCCTCATCCCCTGTCTCTTTGTGTTGGGGCCTGTGATATAAAAGCAGCACTTGCTGCTGCAACGTTGCGCCTCACTTTCGAACAGTTACACAGGGTCAAGCAAAACTCCTATGGGCTGACAAGCTACATCGTCGCCGAAGGCTGCAAGCGTGCTTTGGCCACGACCTCGCCCCTTCCCGCCCTTGCCGGAAATCGCCATCTTGAAGCCAGACATGCTTCTGCAATGGGGGAGCCTTGCTCCAGCTGCAGGCGCTAACTACGACTAGCTGGGGGTCTGTCGTGCTGGGCACAGGGTGTTCAGGCCGACCCTATCGGCCACCTCCTGCAAGCTTCACTTATGTTCCTGCTTGGAGGTATCGGACTCTTCCTCTTACGACCAACGGTAAAGCTTACTTGTGTTGAGCTCGCGGGACTTGGGGCAGGTTGGTCTTCAGTTAATTTTGCACTCGCTCTGAATCACTGAAGCCTTTGATCTGTGGCATCTCATGTCTCTGAACTTCTTGGAGCCAAGCAAGTTACGGCAGTGAGCTCCTGAGCATGTCAAAGCGACTTCAAGACTGTGAAACATGCCATGCCATGCACCCTCTGCTCCACAAATCGCTTAACGCAGTTGTTGCTGAACCTGCACTCACCGCGCTCAGGTGCACTGAAGCACCAGTACTCCGGTATGGAATCTTCTCCTTCCCCAATCTGTGTCCGCACCTCGCACTCCTTGGCCGTCTCATCAACTCCCATGCAAGGCCTCGTCGCGCGGCGCTGCCTCGGCCTGATCACGGTCTGCCTGCCTCCATCTGGGGGTTGCAGAGCGCCGCTTGAGTAATCGTTCCAGTGCTGCAGTGGTCAAGAATGGTGAAGCAGGATCTCGATGTTAATTGCTTCCGGCTGCGATAGATGGCCTTGGTCAGTGAAACGACCACGGAAACCTTTCGCAGCTGGGAACACGAACAAGAACAACACACAAAAAAAACAATGGCCACTTGAAGCATACAGATTGCCAACTAGCCTGTTCTCCAACCCCTTCCCAATTCCGATTCCATCCAAGCACTAAGCAGTGTTTCAACGGAGCCCATCTGGACCTTTCCCAGTCACTGCTTTTTCGAAGGCTTCCTAGGGTTCAGGGGGGGTCTCGAGGGTTCATTCAGGATCGAGGTAGCTGACCGTTCGCCTCCGACCCAACCCGGAGGCCGACATCCCGAAGTTCGAAGGAGTTGCCCCACCCCGGTCATTTAATTATGTGGGTTCGGGGCCTGGGTTCAAAGACATCACACACGGGCCACACCACAATGCCTCAAAGCCACGAGCTCGAAGAACTCCTAGGCCTCCTCTCTCGCCTCGTTTCCGGCCACTCGTCGGGAACCACAAAGCCTGCAGAGTTTTCGGCGTTGGGCTTCATCATGGGGTTCCATCCCTCAAAACTCGGACGCTCCAAGTGAAACTTATTGTGCTTCTTCTACCTGACAGGTCTAACCGTCTAACCCTTAAGTCGCCACGTGGCTTTACGAAGCTTCATGCTTCGACTCTTCGGCTCTTGAGGCTCAGGAATCACAGCGCCACGATGCCTCGGCAGAGCTCCTCGAAGCTGCTTGCATCTGCAGCCAACACAGCCTGAGACGCATGGATGTCCAGGTGTACATGCCGTGCAGAAACTGACAATGCGAGATTGCTTCATCCTGCAGACCGGATTCAATGCCTCCCTCCCCTGCCAGCCTCTTGCTTGCCAGACCTATGAACCCAAGTGCATGCAGCAATCTGTACAACGTCGAGGTGCGATGTACTGGAAACGATTCCATGCCTTCGCTTCTTTCAGGAGCTCCCTGCGGGTCCGCAGCCGGCCATGATCCAGATGCCTCCCTCCTGGAACCGTGAGACGCACCATGCGTGATGCCGGATGCGTGGGCTGCGACATGCGCCGATTGACAAGCTTGCAAAGTCGAAAACGCTCCTGCTTTTTGGGTGCGCATTAGGCCCTAGGCTCGAATCTCTCTTCTCTTCAGGGGCCGTTATGTGCCGTTACGAGGAGAGCATGTGGATCGTCTACATGGCAAGCAACCTTGGGATTCATGTTCATCGTTGCTTCCTGCTTCTCAGCAACACCGCAACATGTGTGGGCACAGGGTGACCAGCTCCAACCAGATGACATACAGTGGGACACCACGGTAAAGCCTACAAAAACAACGTCACTTCACTTCACTTCGCTTCGCTTCGCTTCGCTTCGCTTCGCTTCACTTCGCTTCGCTTCGCTTCACTTCACTTCACTTCGCTTCGCTTCGCTTCACTTCGCTTCACTTCACTTCACTTCACTTCACTTCACTTCACTTCACTTCACTTCACTTAGCTTCACTTCACTTCACTTCACTTCACTTCACTTCACTTCACTTCACTTCACTTCACTTCGGGGGTCAGGCCCTCCACGCCGAAAGGCGCGCCCCTGTTGTCGGGGCTTTGTAGGGAAGTTTGAAAGCAGCTGCATCAAGCAGAACTTCAGGTATGGTTCCCCGGTCAGTCTGAGGCATTCCACAGGGCTTAGGGGACTGTCGAGGTCTCCCGGCCTATTGGCCCCCCATATGTTACGGGGCATTGAAGTGACGTCCCTCTATTTATTCTATTCTATTCTCCGGGGCGTAGGGTGCGGGTCAGACACCCCGCGCCGTGAGGCGCACCCCTGTTGTGGGGCTTTGTAGGGGTACAAGAAGAAGCTACGGATGCTCGGTCACAGGAAAGATACAAATAATGAGACTCCCCCTGATCTACAGCTGCTTCAGGAAATAACATGTGGGGTCGTTTTCCCCCTACATGTACCGTGAGGGTCATGGCCTCATGTCCATCCAAGCAGAAATAACCGCATACACGCAACAATCATACTCTCTCTCTCTGCCGTGCCATCCTCACAGGTCTCGCTGCGCAGCAGCACACAGCAGCAGGCCGGACAATCAGGAGTCGCGCGAGCGAAAAACCTTCTTCATTCGTCGAGACCACCCAATTTGACAAGAACTTACCTCAACAACCACGTTCTGGGCTGCGCGTCTGGCGGCATATATCCTGACCGTGGCCATGGTAATAGTTACCATTACCATCACCTCTGCGAGAAACAGCAGCATGAGCGCCAGCATCGGCGTCAACCACACCATCGAGGTCCTCGCTGTCATCATCACAGGCACAGCGCGAAATTGCCCCTGCAGATCATGACCAGCCGCAGCAACGGCACTTCCACCGACGACAACAACAACATCCGCGGCAGCAGCGCCACAGGAGCAGCATCAGCATCAGCATCATGACATACATCACCATTGCCATCATGAGCGTCGTCATCAGCAGCGACAGCACGTCAAGTCCCAAAACATCCCCCAAAACCCTTTTCATTTCCGCTCCTGAACCCCGTAGTGGCGCCAGCCAGTAGGGCTTCTTCAGGACTAGATACCGAAAAGCTGCCGGTAGGACCCGATCCTGAGTCAGAGGCGAGGGCGACTGGGAAGAGCGGATAGTTGTAAATGCTGTTTAGCTTTCGTCCCGAACAATTTGCGAAAGCAGTACGCGCATGATGCCGGGCCTATCGTGTCTGGGCAAGACTACAGCCGGAAACCGTGGTACAAACATGTAAGATGTACCCATGGCCCGATAGACTGTTACGTGGCGTGAGTAGCGAGTATCGCCACTCTGTCGCTGCAGGCATGACAATCCTACTGAGTGCACTGCCCTAACCGTCGAGCCTCCGTGAAGCCGAACTTCCGACGATTTCATCCCTTAAGACGGGCAGCGAGATCCCTAAAGCGGCACCACCATCCAACCTGTCGCGCCGTTGAAGCTTGAGGCTTGTGTGTGAGGGTGTGCGCGATGTGTGCACTCACGAGTTCATGTGCCTATTTGTGGTCTGTGTGTGCGGGGGGCGGGGGGGTTGGAGCACCACGACCGAAAACGCGCGAATCGGCCGAACCCTGCACGAAGTTGGCAAGAGACGACAGAGTGGAACGTCGTCTCAGGCAGCCCTGCATGTCACAACTACGAACAGAGGAGATGAGGCAAGACTTGGAAAAACTGGCAAGTTCTAGTGACCACAGGAGAACACCATGACCCACAGTCTATTCCCAGCCCTCCAGCAAGGTGCCTCAAGATTCGGACTGAGCATGGGGATCTGCGAATGCCAGCTTTCTGGGCGTTCGCGGGATTCATCCTCGGAATTCCGAATCCGTAGCACCGATCGATTTCGATCAAACACAGAACGCGTGGAACATTACCTGCGATCTTTAGGGCTGTTGCGATGCCGCCAGTGTGACAGGAGAGAGATGCTCAGCACTTGCACGCATTAGCCTTGAAGAAAGTCCTGTTGCAACTTTCAACATCTCTCCATGTGCCTCTTGGCTCTAAACCTGTGGATGTCGGGGCCGGGTTCATGTTCTCGCAATTCGGATTGGGAGCTGCGTTTTTCAAACCACCCACGTCAAGATAGTTCTGATATGTTCTGATTACCAGATGAAACCACGAAACCGGTGTTGCCAGCGCGCAGTAGCTAGCTCAAGACGCTCTCCAATCTGAGGCTGTGGCCAAGGGCTCTGTCACGGGCAAGAAGAGCCGACCATTCATCCAAAGGCGGCTCTGGGTCCTGGGCTCCGACTTATGCAACTTTCCTACCCAACTGAAATGATTAGATGCTGATCTTGGAATTCGCCCTCGACGAATTTACTGCCAGGGAAAAGGCACTGAACAAAGAGAAGCTTCTCCAAGCTCTGGGCACTCTGACCAGCCGCACGAGCTGCAAGAAGATTTCGGATGTGGTCTGTCTGCCCTCAAGGGGAACGGCATGCACCCGAGAGTACCAAAGCGTCGTAAGAACTGCGGATGCCACCAAGGCCCGCACCCATCTTTAGTTGGTGTGAAAGCATGTGGCGCAACTTCCTCAGGTATAGGTGGTATATAGTACCGGTATACGTGATGGTGCCCTCAAACTGCTGTGTACATCTTCGGTTGCCAGTGACTGTGACAAATTATACCTGCTCAGGCCCAGCAGCAACCCCAAGACATCTCGTGGGTTTGGAGCGATGAAGTCATCCCATGTCGCAACCTCAGCTTGCACAGCCTCAACCTAACCAATCTTTGGAAGAGGTCTGACCACTTCACCTCAAAGTACGACAAGTGTGCAGATACTGCTGTGCAAACTGCTGCTACTGTATAGCTTCCATATTCAGAAATGCGGATGCTGAAGCTGCTGCAGCTTATTGATTTGAGAATGATTTGATCTGTCCGACCCTCTACTTTGTGGCGACTCCTTAATTCGAGAAGTGTGACCAGTACGCGCTCCAATCGCGACTTCGTGAAGCAAAATGTTTACAGGAAAACTCAGCAAAGAGCCTCTTCTTTTGCTGCCAGGTAGAACTTCACCGCAACTTCGAGATGCAGAAAACGTGGTGAACTCAGGTCCGGCTGCAGGATGTAGTCGACCTCGCCCTGCAAACCAGGCTCGTATCCCCAATCCTGAGCACCCTCTATGCAGAGCCAGATGCAGCGTGCAGCCTCGGGCCGTGCCCCACCGCCACACCCTCGGTTTCACCGCCCTCACTTGAGTTTTCGTTCTGCAACGAAAACTCTGCATGCCAAAATCGAGAAAATCGAGAGCGTGTGCGCACGAGAGAGAGAGAGAGAGAAACAAAAAAAGCGGGACAGACGGAAGGAGGGAGGGAGAGGGAGAGCCACCTGTCTAGAAGCGAAGCATGGCTCTCACACCCCATGTTGCACGACATGAACCCTTGCGTTTGATTTCCTGCATCTCCGCACTGCAACGCATCGTTCAAGGCTGCGCAGGACACTCTCAGCATCCTTCTCCGAGTGAACTCCGGCTCAAGTTGATGAAAACAGGCACCTTACTTTCAGGAAACCCCTCGAATCCAACAAGCCCTTTGGCTCAGGGTTGAAGGGGTGTGGATCTCCTGGATTGGCTCCCGTGTCTTCGTTGGCCGCAGTGGGACGGCCGAGAAGCCCGGAGCATAAGTGAACCTGGGGAAGGCACCGAATATGCAGAAGAGGTCAGCTCCGCTGTCGTGCTAGATCCCAGGGACTTCCAATCGAGAAGCTCGCAACTGCAACCTCCGAGCACTTCAAACCTTGCCGGTCACTGAAAGAAGCTTGGAGACTCCAACTCATCGGAAACTGGAACGTCCTCGAAGAACACCTTTCATGGAAGTACACAAAGCATGCCCGTTCCATGCACTTCTTGCGACCCTCAGGGCCCCTGACTAGTGACTATAGTCTATAGTAATAGGTCTTCCGCATGTGGACCAGCTGAGCACGAGACAATGCAACTGCTACAAGACGTGCACAATGAGATAAACGTGTCTCTCTTTCTTTCACAAGGGGAAAGGGGAGCGACCCCTTTCCCCGCGCTCCAGGCACACCCCGTATGTTGTGGGCAACAATAATGTCTCTTGCTTGCTTGCCCTCTCTTTCTCCGAATCTCTCTCTTGTGAAACAAGGTTGGAGTGTTGTTGGAACGCACAGGCACCTCACAAACCTCACATGAGCACACTTGGCTTCGCACAGGGCAATGTCTTCGGCCCGAAGGCTTTCTCCTTCTGTTCTTTGCTAGGTGCCGTTTTCCACGGTCCCCAAAATTTACTTTTAATTAGGGCTCTGGTAAAAAATATCCCAAATCGATACCTAGTTGCAGCTTTGGGCTCATCGGAAATGCGGTAACAGCTCTGTGCTGGGGCAACTTCGTCACGGAATCTTGTCTCGGCGCCTCCCTGTCCAGATACAACTATATGCATGCAACCGAAAGACAAATTGACGCTTGCGTTGGAGTGCATTCATTCCGGGCCCACCCATGCACAGACGGTGTTGATTCATGGCCTGTGAGACAACATGTTCAAGGCTTCCCTTTTGGCGGCATATTCTAGGCCGAACAAGCCTCTCCTCTCTCCTCATCTGCTCGAACCATGACTTAGCCGTTGTGATGACTCGGTCGAAGTCTTTGCCATGGGTTTCTTGCGAAACGGTCGAGTCTGTCCACACCGTGAGCCCCTGCCCAGCGTAAACAAAGATCGACAGAGAGGCTGCCCCCGACATTTGCACGGCAATCCAATCACGAAGCGGCCTCTCCGTCCATGATGCCGCTGTCTGGCGGTGCTCTCGGGCTGTAGTAATGTGCAGTTTTGCGAAGACCACCGTCCGAGGCGAGCGTGGCATGTTCCTGGGGCGAGTCAGACTCTCGGATATCAGAGATCCGGCGGCCTAGAATCTCCTAGACGTAAACTTCTCATTCTCGCAAGTCTACTTAGACAAGTAGCTGGCAAAGGCAAAGCTTCTCTGGACCGACCGCGCTTGACCTTGAAGCTGATGCGAAGCTGGCCACCTGCAGAGCATGGGGCTTATCTGGCCTGACCACCGGCAGTTACGGACAGCTTCAAGTTCAGCATGTTTCGAATTTTCAGCTACCACTACTCTCAGTCTCACTTTCGAGTCTGCTTATGGCAGAAACTGAAGATGCTTCACGCCAGCCGGATGCCCTGAATCTAGTCGGGCGGTGTGGAAGAAACTACTCTACATACACCTTAACTAACCGACTTAATTCACACACCAAGCATACGAGTATCAAGCAGAGTACCAGCCACGCGCATGCCTTCAAGAAAAGCCGCTTCGTGGATGCTGCAGAAGAAATCTACATCCCACGAGCTTTTCAGCGCGGGCTTGAAGCGCCTCGCTCAGAGCATGGCGCAAGTGCACGCATCTCTTGTGTACCAGTAGGACTCCGCCTGACGACAGCACCGGGTGGGCCCGCTGCGCTCTTGTTGGACCTCTTCTCCTTCACAGGTAGTGAGAGTGAATGCAAAACATGGGCAAGTTGAGTTCCGGCTATGGTGCCCTTACGTCCCCGACCGCTGCGTTGACTGTCCAGGAGGTCCACCTGGTTCCCTAGATTGAAACCCCAGAAACAGACTTGAAGGAAGCTGCCCGTGCATTGGGAGTCTCTGCACGCAAGCAGAACGCAAACAGTCACGAACAAAAAGCGCCAGCACCTCCATTCCGAGTCCCTACGGTTCGCTAAAGGGCAGCTCCTTCGGTATGGGCTCACTGTACAGTGCCACAGGCACTTTTCCCAGCTCCGCGAAGGCAAAGTGCACGAGAGACTCGTAGTAGTGGCCTCTGCAAGGAGTAGAGAGGGGCAGCGAGGAAGAGAGAAGCCAGCACCGTCTCTAATTTACTAATGGACCGAGAAATGCGTTCGACATTTGAGTCGCCGTTGAGCTAGCACCGAACGACATGTCCCCTGCACGAGGATAGCTAGCAGCTAGCCCTTGCTCAGCTCAACATGGACGTACTTCTAAGGGGGCGGTGAAGGCGAGCTCGGGCATCAGAAGTGCGAGACGTTAATTACCGCCCATGTCTGACGTTCAATGTACTGCCGAACGGCACAGCACATGCCGTGCTGTTACGAGTACCATGTCTCCAACGTTATTAGGCCGAGCCCGTTGCCGCAGCAAGCTGCGAAACCGTCTGGCAGACGAAATGCAAAACCCTGCTGACAAGAAGTCGTTCCCAGTCGCCGACGAAGCGCGTCCCAGATCGGCCGTGGGAGCCGAGCCATGCGCGGAGCGGCTCCGGATCCTCATCCAGAGCCAGCCTTTGATTCAGCCGGCGGTGGGATTCAGAGTGCTATGTGCTAACAAGACCGCCATCCCTTCGGGGCCGTTCACAACGATGCACTCGCTACGATCCCTCTGGCGGCGAAATTTCTCGACAACATCGCACCGAAAACACCTTTCGATTACGCCAGGTCTACAGACAAGTGGTCCAGCATCCGGCTTAGTGGGGTACACGCCGGCTTCCCATAAGCTGCTTGCGAGATGTACGAGTGGACGATATTGGTTTTAACAAAGCTGGTTTTGATGCTCCCAACTCGGACCCACTCTTCACAGGCTCAGGGTCGCAACAGAGAGAGGCAGGCATCCCGTCGTCAGCTTGCCGCAAAGGACATGATGTCACCGTATCTGAAAAGCGTTCGTACAAATCTCTGCTGCATGGAGGGAGGTCGAGATGTAACCGTTAACGATAGGTGAAGAGTTACATGTCTTTGCCTCGCATGCATCCTGGATGCAGGTCCTGCGACACGTCTCCAAGCAGATCCTGATGGCATCCGATATAACAAAACTTACTGCATGCCGGTGAGTGGTGTCAACTGTCTTTTTGACCAAACTCGTGCCAATCGAGGGGAGGTTGAAAAGCTGCTCTGGCACGGAATTCCACCCATAGCCCAGGAGTAACTACTAACTACCAATTCAGAGGATCCACGAAACGCTGAAACCTCCGAGTCGGCACATCATGGCATATCAAGCCAGAAAGTAAGGATCGTCGATTTGGGGGGGCTTGCCCACTTTCATTGTGCTACCTCCGGCCACCTGTACCATTTACGGCAAGGCCGAATGGCTTGCTATGGAAGCCTCTGCGAGAATCTGTCTGCAGTCGGCTCCTCCATCGCGCCATCAGTAAACACTTCACGGCCGCACTCTACCTGGGAGACACAGAATTGTTATCGCCATGTTCCACACCGGACACCATTGCCAAAGCTGAAGACTTGTGGCCTGAACCTATGAGACTTTATGGTCGTGTAGTTTCAAGACTTGACCTCAACATGGAATCGCTTGGTCTGCGAGTCTGCGCATGTCTTCGCGAAGCTGCTGGTCTTTTGCAGCTTGCTTCGTCTCCTCGTCTCCCTCTCAAGCGGCACAGTACTACCATCTAAACAGCAAGTTCCTATGGACGGCAACGCTGCAAAAGCATTGAATTGATGATTTTTCGCACATAAGGGTGATGCCCTTAACAAGCTGAAGCAGTATCGGCAGCTCATCAGAAGTAAGCTGACATAACACAGTTACAAGTTGCCTAACGGGCCTAACGTGTACGCGACCAGCAATAGTTCTCCAATCGGCCTCGGGACATTGAAGTGTTCTTCTGCTGTCAGGCTGCGTCGGCGTCGCAACAGAGACCTGGCGCCAAGACCGACCACGCCACGTCACCTCAGCCAACTTTCGCCAAACAACGCAGCTTGCGGGTCTCACCATGTGCCACGTACTGGCCAAGCTACAGTTTCTGCACCAGGCATATGCGTCTGACATGTTCGTATAGATGCTCGGGTTTATGCTAGCTGGTGGTCTGGATCGAAACCCAACTACGGCCGCATTGCTACCAGTAGTTCGGGCTGCCATACGTCCGACCTTCCGGCTGATTACTCAAAACCTCTGCAACAGATATCACGTGGTAACGTGGAGCTTTTACTTCACTTTCGCCGCACATCGAGACGGGACTCGGCTGCAAGGCGACCCTTGAAACTCCGAGCACGGTGGCTGCATGGCTGAAGACCTGCATGGTCAGGCAGCGCTGCATCGCACCAGACGGATGGACCCGGCATGTCGGGTCCCAGAAGTTTCGTGTTCCGCGCCAGGCTTGGCCCGCGGAGTGAGGACCGGGCTCTAATTCCCACAATGAAGCGCAACGGGGCACTTCCATCCTCGCCTCACTCGTCATCCGCATTTGCGATGACAGCCTTCCACTGAGTGGTTTGTGCTTCTGCGGGGTTTGCTCATCACAGCCTTGTCAGAGACTGCGTCAATCCTCCATGGATATACTTGCTGGTGGCTGGTGCATGTGACATCCAGTCGTGATCAATCGCCGTGCAGCTCAAGGGAAGCAACTTCTCCACCTGTCCTTCCAGAACCGAATCCTGAGGTGGGCCAGAACTGCGCAGCTAGCAACGGCAACATCAATCGACCAGCACTTAGAAAGATATTTCGACACAGCATCAACAGATAAAGCATAAGTGCACAGCACATTGTGACACCCAGGCGCGTGAGCTTCTCCAGGTGCTCGGCGGGATCTGCCAGCCTGAGACACGTATTGGGTTTTTACTATTACACAGAACGACCGGCAGGCGAAATTCGGAAAGCCACAGAGTGCGCTAGACGCTGTGTCAAGGTATGCAAAGTTTCCTCTCCGCGCAACAAGCCAGTCCTGGTCAGGACTTCAAGCAGCAGCTCGGGCGAGAGATCTTCTGGTGCCGGCATGTAGCTAGGACCACCTGCAAATCTGCAAAGCATTTTTAAGGTAGGACTGCTGTCTGGGACGTGGGGCAGGACAGGTTCCTTGCCTCCCCAGAATGTCCATGCATCAGAACACGAGGAAAGGCTTGGCCAGTAAAGCCTCCGATGACACTATGTAATATGCATACATATGTATAGACATAGAAAATAAATAAATAAATACATATTATATATATATATATATTATGCACACATTACATGGAGTCTTGGTTGGAATAATCCTACTGCTGCTGCACCGTCTCGTTTCTCACACTCGGCCGTGCAGGATAAGGCTCCAAGTCCACAAAGTCAAAGCTGAGCTAGCCAGATTGGGTTCCGCTCAAACAGGGTGCGACACAACTTCAAGCCCAAGCTGCCCAAGCTGTGACAATCACAAAATTGATGTCTCAGCTATTCAACCATGAGCCCTACATCCACCTGGACGGTCATCGGTAGAATCAGACTATACGCTGTAAGCTGATCGGAATAACATCAACAAACGCACAGCACTGCTAGATTCTGCCAGATGTTCACTGCCCGGCGCGCCTTCAAAAAGCCGCTGATCGAACTGTTCATCTCGTGCGACCAGCCTTGGAAACAGCTTCCGTGGGACTTGAGACCGGCAAGTTCTGTACAACAAACCGACGAACAATGCATATGTACCTGTATTGTACGTATAGATGAATGAACCGACCAACATCCATCAAGTGACATGCAAAAAAACACAAGATCCACGCAGGAGTTGTGGTGAAAAGTCGACTTCCGCGGCTCCGATGACTGGTCGTGGTCTTTCAAGAGGCGGCTCTTGTTGCGACAGGACTGTCTGTTGCTGCCCTGATTCTGGGAACAACAATCGCATGACACCGCTCCAGCCCTCGTGCACTGCAGTCAAGTTTGAATCTGAGTGACAATCTGTTTTTTTTGCGTAGGTCTTGGCAAGGCTTGCCTCTTACTTAGCTGGTCGAAGAACCTCAGATTATGTCTCGGTCCCTTTAAACATTTTGTGGTAAGGATTCGGTGCGGAAGCAAGTTGTGCAGCCGTGCTGCGGCACTGTGCCAAGGGCTAGGGCTTGCCAGGTGCGGCCGCAGTCGTAACCTCGTCCAGGAGGGGAAAGAATGCCTTTGCGAGGAGTTGAATTGATTTGGCGTGCTTCCAATGTTTCCTTGCACCAACCTTTTATGTTGAGCGTTGTCGCGGCCACGCTGTTTGCCGATCGAAATACGAGTGCAGAAGTGAATCCTGACTGTAAACCGGAGGCTGAATCCAGCTTCAATCTCCCTGCAGGCGCGTCCGAGCTGCTCTGGTGCTGACTGACCAACACTAGAAAAGCTTCGTAGGGTAAGGATTCGGACACGATGTGCACCACGTCGCCGTACTCTCTGTCCGCAAGTGCATCCTGGAAATTCTCTTGGCGGGGTCGGTGGCAACTTTGCGTGCGCCGTTAAACCCTGACTACAACAGCTCGCATTGCGCAGCACATCCGATACGGGACTGTGGCGACCCACACGGTGAGCTTAGCAGACGGACCCACAGAAACCTTATCATGTGAAAGGCCAGGGCACCAGGTATCGCTTCCGAAGGCGGTTGTGCAGCCTGCAAAACCAGGCGAAGCGAGGAGAAAAACATGCTGCGCGGGGGCGGTAGTTCAACAGCACAACAGCTCAATGAAACGAACACTAACGCCAATCTACCTATCTATCGACGTATCTACAGTACAGCACAATGCTAAGAATCCATCGGTCGATCCTTCCATCAACCTACCTATCTACCTCTCTATGTCTATCTGTCCATCTGTTTATCTATCTGTCTACCTGTCTATCTACCTAACATTATCTAACTACCCGTCAGGCAGCATCTCACTGTTTAAGTGTATCTCTCTAAGTCTATCTATCTATCTATCTATCTATCTATCCACCTAGCTATTTGTATCGGCATGCCTAAGCTTCTGACTCTGTCTGTCTGTGTGTCTGCCTGCCTATCTAGCTGTCCATCTGTCTGTCTGTCTATCTATCTGTCCATCTGTCTATCTGTCAACCTGTCAATCTGTCAATCCGGCTATCTGTCCATTTGTCTATCTCTCTGTCTACAGTAGCTGGCTAGCACGTCTTACATAAATGTAAGCTGCTTCTCTCTCTGTTCTGTTCTCCGGGGCATAGGGTGCTTGTCAGGCACCCCGCGCCGAAGGGCGCACCCCTGTTTAGGGGCCTTGTGGGGGTCCAGTAAAAGATACGGATGCTCGGTCTGCTCATCTCTCTCTCTCTCTCTCTCTCTCGTTCTCTGTCTACCTCTCTGAGTCCATCTATCTATCCATAGGCTGCTGGAGCACCAACGCACCCAAAACAGTACAAAAAACAACGACAGCACGCCTCATAGGCGCGACCAGCAGGCGACGATCCCGAAGCTCCCAGGGCTTCGCCTTCTGTCGCACTTGCTCGAGAAGAGTCTCCGAGGTAAGACCTGCGAGCAGAATCATCTTAGAATCTCTGCCACTTCCCAACTGCCCCAGATTGCAAGGCCTATAGAACAGCCTTTCTGCAAGCGGGGACATCGGAAAACTCGCATATGCTGCTGTGCTTGCGCTTTCAATGCTTGGAGCATGTGGGACCTTCTCTATCTCAAGCTGTTGTGAAACCTGCCTTCATCTCGCACATTGCCTTTTACAAGAAAAACACTGTAACTTAGCCCATGTTTCGAATTGTTTAACGTTGTTTTGTTGCTCTGTTGGCAGAGCATGCCGTCTGTGCCCACATGCAGTTCAATAACCGACTGCTTCTGTCCAGCCCCAACCCAGGAATCAAACTTCCCGACATTTATATGCTCAGCGGGTTTGCAAACATGGCACATAGCTCCGCCAATTCTCTGCAGTTGCTTGTTAGACTTCCTTGTGTTTTCCTGTTGCCTGCAGCATGCCTGTGTGCAAACAGTTTCTGCTCTTGGGCACTCTTGCACCGTTAGTTACACGGATTTATTGTTTAACACAATATAGCAGCGCAACAGTGCTTTTCCGGAGCTGCGCGAAAGGGACTCTTCGCAGAATTCGCCTGACGTCCGTAATCTCATCGGCTGACGTTGCAGTCTTGAAGCTCCCCCTACAAACTCGAAGCTCCTGCCTAGTGGCAGAGGGAAGAAGAGATCCGGGAGCCTCTGACAACATCTCAGAGCTGATGTGTGAAGTCTTCCAGTTCCTCTCTCTCTCTCTCTCTGTCTTCCTACCTGTCCATCCCTATCTATTGATCTATCAATCTGTCGCTCGATCTATCATATCTGGAACCATGGATCCACCTAACCAGCTCCCTATCTATCTATCTATCTATCTATCTATCTATCTAGCAACAAACACGCTTTCATGGAACTTGGCCATATCTAGCACTCGCAACACGTTTGTTCGAACTCTTGCAGGCATAGGGCATGATCTGCGCACTGCTGGCCTTCCGAGACTCCACGTTCCCCACAGCCCGGTGTAAGCTCTGAAGTCTAACTTTGGAGATGCCCTCAGCTGAAACACCAAATAGCTTGGATCCTGTTGAACCTTTGCTGAATCTTATGTATAAACTTGCAGGGAACCGCGGGCTTTGAAGGTTGTTGGCGAAGCAGGCACGCAGGTGGTCCAGGGATTCTATCCTTGGTTCACTCTCTGAAGCAGCAAAGTCAAACAGAGAAACCCGATTGACACGCACCTGGCGGAGGCTTTTTTTTCCTAACGCTGGCGGTCTCCGACCTCACTTGCTAACGTTGTCTCTTCTTGTTTTGGTTACGAATACTGTAAATTGCAGCATTTGCTATTGTTTTGCATCAAGCTATTGGGTAATTAAATTAGCAGGGTGGAATTTTGCTGCAAGCTATTGAGGGGATTGCACATTTGCTGGGGCATAACAACGTAGACTGTTTTACGCTGCGTCAAGCTATTGAGGAATTTCAACTTTCCGGGTCCTGCTTCGCGCCAAGCTATTGGGGAATTGCAATTTGCGGGGTTCTTCTTAGCTCCAAGGTATTGGGGGATTGCAATTCCGATGTTCTTGTTCTGTGTCAAGCTATTGGGGAGTTCCAATTTGCAGGGTATTGCTTTGCCCCAAGCTATTGTGGGATTACAATCTCGAGGCTCCTGTCTTATGTCGAGCTATTGGGGAATTACAATTTGCAGGGTTTTGTTTTGCAACAAGCTACTGGGGATTACAATTTCGAAGCTCCTGTCTTGTGTCAAGCTATTGGGGAATTACAAGTTGCAGGGTTTTGCTTCGCGTCCAGCTATTGCGGCATCATAATTTGCAAAGCTTTGCTCTGCCCCAAGCTATTCAGGGATCACAATTTCGAGGCTGCTGTCTTGTGTCAGGCTATTGGGGAATTCCAATTTGCAGGGTCTTGCTTTGCATCAGGCTCTTTACAACTTGCAGCGGCGATTCCAGTTCTTCAAATTGCTTAAACGCGCGAAATCTGTTCTCGATTGCTTTCATCATATAGCCCCTTCATGTAGCGATTCCGGCTCATCCAAGTTCTTAAACGTTGGCGACCCAGGTTCATCATACATCCTAAATACGCCCTTTCATGTGGCGATTCCGGTTCATAATATGTCTTCAAGACACCTCCTCCTACGGCGCTTCCCGTTCATCAAATTACGATATAATAATCATATCGTAAACACGCTTCCGGTTCATCATGTATCTTCAGTACGGCCCTTCATCACAGATCTTGAACACGCCCCCTCATTGCCAATTCCGATTCTGCACTTTCTCGTGGTAAACCCGCCCCAAGTTGTCACAGACCCGCGAGGGCTATAAAAGAGAGCGGGGGTTGGGGGGGGGGGGGGGGG